TGCAACTCCCATGAGCCTTGGTCTGAGTGTGCCAAAGGTCAGGGGTGGCAGAAGTTGTAGCCCGGCAACATCAGGGAGGCCAGAAATCCTTCTGGCTTAGGTCAATCACTTACTGTCCACCATCCCTCTGAGATCCCTACACCTGCAGGATGTGGTTCTCCTCCCCTGCACTGCAAGATGCAACGTATCATACAGGACTTTGAATAACACTTGAAGACAGAAATTCAGTCAGAGCAAACAAGCACTGGCTGGGAGCAGCGCATTCCACGATGCTCAGTGGCAAACTCACTGGCTCAGGGACGCGGACTTATAAAAAATATTGGGGGGGCCCGGGAAAGCTCATGAATAATAAATAACCTCATGAATATGCAAATAAAGTGGCGCCGCCTCCTCGTGAGCGAATAGGGGAGAGCGTGCTGCGCCTATTAATCAGCTCCGGAACAGCTGATATGCGGGAAACGTGGGGCTAGCCGGAGAAGAGAGGGCGAGCCCCCTCCGCTCCGGCCCTAAATAGGGCAAGCCACACACCCCCAGCCAGCCGATAGGTACCCGGTCGTTCTCGCGGGGGCTGAAACCGCCAGGAGGAAGGAAATTCCCCCCGGCAGTGCCTTGGCAGTGGCGGTGGTGCTGCGAAGCAGCGAGGCAGGAGCCCCCGCCCCTGGGGATTCCCTAATCTCGCGGGGGACGGCCGGGGCTCTCCGACTAGGGCGCGCGGCTGGCTGGCTGGCTGGCGAGGGAGCAGGTGGGGAGGAGGCGGGGATGGCGGCGGCGCTCTGCTGGAAGGGCGCCCGAGATTATTGGGGGGGCTGAGCCCCCCCAAAATTTTTTTGAGGGGGCTCGAGCCCCCTCAGGCCCCATGGAGTCGGCGCCTATGCACTGGCTGGAGCAAAGCAGGTGGCACCTGCAACATGAACCTACCACCACAAGTAGAGGCATCCGCACATTGGCCAGCAAGCACGCCAGGGCCCCCAGACCAAAGACCCATCTAGCCAACACCCCATTTTCCACTGCAGCCTGCCCCCCGCCATGTGAAGCCCAGAAGCAGCACATGAGTGCAGCAGCCCCTCTTCCTCTTGCGATTCCTAGCACACTGCCCCTGAAAGAGGAAGAAATACTTGGCCATGTTGGCTAACAGCCATTAGAAGATAGGGACTCAAAACTCTGCCTTCTCCGGATTCAGACCACTGGTCCTGCTGGCTCACTGGCAGCCAGCTGCACATCACCCACCTCTCCCCTCTGAACTATATTTAAGCCAGGCTCCCTGCAGTGCAGCAAGACCAGTAACAGAAACATTATTGTTGGTTCACTCTTGTTTTGATTTGTATTTATGTACTTAAACCTACACAACTATTTTCTTTCAGTAATGCTGAATTTACTATGTGTTTGCTAAATTGTTGGTTTTTGCTAATTTTGAATTTACTGATGTGTTCTGTATTTTGTATATCTGTATTTCCAACACACTATGTTTGGATGCCTTGAACATTTGCTGTAAGCTGCATTGGGTGCAACTCATTATGGAAAAGTGGCATCCAGGTATACCCAATCCATCAGCATTATCTAACACACTAGTGTCCAATGGCACTCTAGGATTTCAGACAGGGGCGCCTCTCTCTCTCTCCAGCCCTAACTGGAGATGCCAGAGATTGAACATGGACCTTTCTAGATGCAAAGCAGATGTTCTGCCATGGAGCCACAACCCATCTCCAGGGACAGTCTTACTCTCCATGAATTTGCACTGAGTCACATCTAGCCCACGGCAGCCTCCACACTAACTGACAGCAGCTCTCTAGGGTCTCAGGCAGAGAACAGTTTTCACATCACCCAACCCTTTTTAACAGGAGAGGGCAGAGACTGAACAATGAGTTTTCTCCTTGCAAAGCAGCTGCTCTAGGCCTGAGCCCTGGGCCTTCCCAAGCAGGCATCAGGGAATCAAATCCTGTTCCTCCTCCTCAAGCAACCTGCAGGGACAGAACCCGTGTCATGGAACTGACAGCTTCCAAAAGCCATGGCTCCTGCACAAATACCAAACTCTCTCAGATGAACACAGAGGCCTGTCTGTAGCAGGAAGGCTGTAAAAACCCCGTAAGTGATGCCTTGCAACAGCCTGCAATCTGGAGACATTGCCTTGAGTGTAAATACATTTAAGGTTTTCCAATAAGTTGGGATTAGGGGGGAGAGCAGAAACACCTTCACTTGCTTCAGCAGATTTCTTGAGACAGAGAAATGTGATTCCAGGAGGTCCCAGGATCAAATTTCTCCTGTGCAATAAAATTCACAACAAAACTTTGAGAGTCTCAAACTTCGGTCAACCCGCTCAGAAATCAGTGTTGCTGTACCTTGCAGGACTGTTGTAAGGATTGCTGATGCAAAGCACTTAGAAAATAACAGAGCTATGGGCACCAACAGGAATTTCTACTGGGTGTTTGTGCAAAGTAAAACACTGAAAGGAGTGTGATGGAGCAGGATAGCTTCACTCACACACAAAACTGAGAAGAATAGTGCCTGTACATTCTGCTGCATACCTCAGAGTCTACAAACGGTAGAAAATTACTGTTTCTAAAATGAAGCTTGCGCACCCCTTCTCCATTTTTTCAAGTGCACGTCTGATGCTGCTCTCATGCAAACATATCCGGAAAAAGCCTTAGGTGCTGCTGGTCCTAACATCAGGCAAGGCAAGTTGACTTTATCAGGTTGCTGGTTTTAGGTGCTGTGCAAGAACATCAAATTATTAGCTATCTAATGCCTTACTGTATTATAATTACTTCCAAGGAGAGGCACTTGTGGAATTTCCCTTCCTCCTGTGCCAGAAGAACTTGGCTCTGCTTCGGCTGTGACACTTGGGAAAGGGGCATCACCAAGCCAGTGCAACAAAGTCCTAGAGCCCGGAGGGGAGTAGGATGGAGTGTACCACTTCAAGATGCAGGTGGGGGGGGTGCTACTTTTGAGCATAAGCCTCAATTGTTTTATTTTCACAAAAACCTCCCTAAAGATATAAAGTAAGCATATCATGGGGGGGGGGGCTGTTGTAAAAATAAAAACCCCTAAAACCTGCAAAGGGTCATGGCACTTTAAGAAAAGGAACAGTCCCCTCCACTTGCTCTCCAAAGTGACACAGCCCATCCTCCCAGCTCAGGGCTCTATCACCTAGAGGTGCCACCTCCTCGCCCCCCCCCCCAGCCTCCTGGCAGCTGCCTTCCTCCCAGGCCAACAGCCGGGTTGTTTTCCACCTTCAAGGAGGGAAGCCAAGCCAAGCGGCGGGGCAGCCACCCAGCCGCGGCCACCCATCTCCCAAGGCGCGCCTCGCTCCCTCAAGCAAACGCCCAGTTCTGCAGAGATCCGGCTGCTCCCTTCGCATCTCCCCAGGCCGGTGGTGCTTTAAAGGTCACATCCGCCAGAAGACCCCCATCTCCTCCTCCAGCCACCATCGCCACGCCACGCCAGGATCACCTTGCCGGGGCCTTCGCCCAGCTCCACAGCCCAGAACTGAACTTTCAGAGGTATTTGAAGCAGGGAGGGAGGGAGGCGGCTCCCCGCCCCCCTTGCAGGGAACATGCAACCCGTTTATTAAAATCACCACCACCATCACCTCCACCGCGAGAACCCAGCCGGCTAAGCCGCGCCAAGCAGCAAATATGGCTCCCCAGCGCAAGGAATTTCTCCCTGATCCAGCGTGTCTCCAAAAAGGCTCCCCCGATAACGCACAAGCAGATAAGGGTGGCTTATTTGGAGGCTGCTGGATTTGCAGCCCCCTTCCTTCCTTCCTTCCTTCCTTTCCACACCAGGCTTCTTGGGGAAGGAGGACGGAGGAGGAGGAGGAGGAGGAGGAGAAGGTTCAAGTCTGGGCAAACCGCACTGAGCTCGAGCCATCTGCAAAGCGGGTCTGACCTGACGCGGATCAGCAGCCGGGCTGGGAAGATGGGCGGGTGCGGCGGTGGGTGCCGCGCAGCGCCAGCAAGAGCCCGAGCTCTCGGGGAGCTGAAATGGACACGATCCCATTCTGCTTCACCTCCGGCTGCCTTTCTAGAGCTCCCCACCCGCTAACACCCAGTTGCCCAGCCTGCTTGTGGACGCTGCGAAGGGGGCCGGGCGGGGGCGGAAAGCAACAAGCGGCGGGGAGGGGTCGGCAGGCTTGCTCAGTGAGGATTGGGCCCACCTCCGACCGCCTGGCTGCCTTGCCTAGGGCCCCCGATCGTCAGAAAAGCAGGTCAGGAAGCGGGGGGGGGGGGAGAGAGCGAGATGCAAGGGAGCAAGGGCGGGGCGGGGGATCCTTTTGCAGAGTCAGCTGCATTCCCGTGCTAAAGGACAGGTGGCCGGGAAAGGAAGCGAGGGGGAGGCGTGCGCGGGCGAGGCAGTGACGGTCCGATCCAGCCCATCCAAGGAGGCGCTGCCCTCTCCGCAAGCTCGCCTGCTTCCTCCGCGCGCGCCGATGGTGCAACTATATTCCCGAAAGCATTTAAATGCAAAGGTGCACATAAACCATGCGCATAAAGATACACCTGCATATATACTGAAAGGAGGGGAATCCGCCTGAAAAGCACGCCTGGAAGCGGCTCCTACCGGGAGAGGCGAGCCTTAGCCGGGCATGGCGCGGGGCATCGGAGCGCCGCTCTCCTCCTCCTCCTCCTCCTCTCGCCGCGGCTGCAGCAACCTCCTGCCTGCTCGGAGGCGCCGCGTCTCTGCCAGCCCTTTGCAAGGCGCTTCTGCTTCCCAGGCTGAGAGCCCCCAGCCCAGGGAGAGCAGGAAGCGCGTCATCACCCCGGGACCGACCGGCCAGCTGGCCTTCCTCCCCTCCTCCTCCTCCTCCTCCTCCTCCCCCCGAGCTGGCTGGACCGACCATCCACCCAGCGAGCTTGTACTGCACGTTGCTGGCGGAGCTCCCCAGCGGCGAGGCGAGCCGCACCCCAGAATTAGCTCATCCCTCTCCCAAAGCAAAAGCCAAGGTATCTCCCAGGCTGCAGCCCGAAGCAGGCTCCAGTCCTCTTGAGCTGGGCAGGACTTACTCCCGAGTAAATGGGACGGCCTTCGTTTGCGCCAGAGAACTGTGCGTGATTCTCCACCAGGCAAGCTGCCACCTTCTCCTCCCCAAAACTAGTTCTGCTCCTCCTCTGCTTTCAGACAGCGGTCCCCACGTGTAGAATATCGTGAAGCAAGGGAGGCTTCTTTCCATCCTTGCAGGGAAGAAAGCTGCAGCTACTTGCTTGTCCTGCACCTCAGTTTCCTGTTAAAAGCACGGGAGCAAGGCTGGTGGACAGGAAGGACCTTATTCACCTCTCACTGTGTTGGCTTGGATGCTTTCTTGATCGGTTTCCAAATGGAGTAATTTTGCTATGTGCTGACCTGAACTATGCTGTAATTGATGATTTGGTGCACTTTGGAAAATATATATTTTTAAAGCAAAACTTGTCAGGGTTGCCCACTGGAAAAATAGCAACAATATATTATCCATATACGAGACCAAACCAAAATCTCACCAAATAACGTTCCAGCTTTTGAGTTCTCCAGAGACCCTGAAACCAGAACAGAAGCCCCCTGAAAGCCTCATCTGAATGTGTGCTTCCACCTGATGACTCAGCAGATGCAGGAACTGATGACTTGGCTACTAGCTAGGGCTGTTTCTCCAGACACACTGCATGTCCCATGGTCTTGTCTAACTGAATGAAGAATTCTGGATAACTTGAAACCTCACACATTATTATTTGACATTTTGGAGGGCCTTATAAATCCTCACCTGAGGATTATGTCGCTGCGCAGTAGGACCCAGGTGTACCAGTATGCAGGTTTTTTACTACAGGTACTGAAGAAAAAAACATATTGTTGAGGCTGCAATCTTCTTTTGGGAAGGGTTGTAGCTCAGCGGTTGAGCTCCTGTTTCCCATGCAAAAGGTCACAGGTTCAATCCCCCTGTACAGTGGTACCTTGGGTTACATATGCTTCAGGTTACATACGCTTCAGGTTACAGACTCCGCTAACCCAGAAATAGTGCTTCAGGTTAAGAACTTTGCTTCAGGATGAGAACAGAAATTGTGCTCCGGCGGCAGCAGGAGGCCCCGTTAGCTAAAGTGGTGCTTCAGGTTAAGAAGTTTCAGGTTAAGAATGGACCTCCGGAACGAATTAAGTACTTAACCCGAGGTACCACTGTACATCCAGACATGGCAGGGGAAAGACTCCTGTCTGAAACCTTTGAGAGCTGCTGTCAGTCATTGTAGACAAGACTCTGCTAGAAGGACCAAGACTTTGACTTAGTACAGGGGAGCTTCCAACGATCTTATTTAAACCAGCTCTTTATTCAGAGGGCAATGAAGACTGGAATCTTGGTTCATCTTTAGGGGAAGGACCATAGCTTAGAGATGGAGCGCAGCTTCATGTGCAGAAGGCCCCAAGTTCAAACCTGGCCTCTCCAGGAAGGGCTGGGAGGGACTCTGCCTGAAACCCTGGAGAGCTGCTGCCAGTCCGTGCAGGCAATACTGAGCTATAGTGTTCTGACTTGGTATAATAAGGCAGCTTCTTCCTTTCTTCACTTGCTGAGGTAGTCCGGGAGCCATGGAGGCCAAGGTTCCCCCCTCCCTTGCCCCCTGCCTCCAGTCAGGGATTGGGGGCACTACTGCTCCCCCTCACAAGGGAGCATCATGAACCTGGTTAGTCAGAGCAAGGAGGCCAGTCCTGGCCAACCCCTCCTCAGTAATTTCAATCAGGATGAGGTAGGCAGATGGAAGGACAGTTTATATTTCGTAGAGTTGGAAGGGACCCTGAAGATCATCAATGAGAGGAAAGAGGCTCAGTCACAAGGGCTTCTTTATGCTGCCATCCTGCCCCCTGTCCCAAAAATCCTCCTTGTTGTGGCACAGGTGATGCTCCAGGCCAGCTGCCAAAGGACCTTCCTGCCCATGTGCTGCGGGAAAACACAACAACAACAAACCTATGGTTACGTGAAACATACTCAGTAAACACACAAAACGTAACCGGCTGTACTTTCGAATAAATAAGGTATACTATTCATTGTATCAAATTGTTGATTTCAACGGAAGTCTCATAAAGATCAACAAAAAAACCAGAAGACCCAGTGGATCAGTTCATTCTTTAGTCAGTTCATGCATAAGGTCCATACATGTATAAGTATCTATTCCACCTGTCTGTTCTTAGAGTCCAATAATCCACATGCAGGGTTGTTACAGTTCCACCGAATCTTTTCACAGAGTCTAAGGAATATTAGCCTTGTTTTGCCATCCTAGTCTTCATCAATAGAACAGGCTCATATGTGAAATTACAGGATAGTGGATCTTATAGCATAGTAGTGGTTGTAGTCACCAAGATGGTGGCGGCCAACACACTTGGGGGAGGCTGGATATGCCGCCTGCCTAGATCCTGCTGCCTGAGGCAGCTGCTTCATGGGCCAGGCTGGCTGGCCCTGGGCACCTGGATTTAAGATTCATTTAACCAGTTTTCCTTAAAGGGGAGGGAGTTTAAAAGTGAAATGACAGCACCACCTGCTGATAGTTAAAGTGATAGGTGCATTGATTCAGATAGGGCATGATTACCCACTATCCTCCTAAACAGTAATGGAATTTGCAGCACAATCTCAGCAAAATGATGATGATACCCAGCTCTACCTCTCTTTCAAATCAGAACCAGTGAAGGTCCTGTGTTTGTGTCTGGAGGCGGTTGGAGGATGGATGGTGGCTAACAGATTGAGGTTGAACCCTAACAAGACAAAAGTACTGTTTTGGGGGGACAGGAGGCAGGCAGGTGTGGAGGACTCCCTGGTCCTGAATGGGGCAACTGTGCCCCTGAAGGACCAGGTGCGCAGCCTGGGAGTCATTCTGGACTCACAGCTGTCCATGGAGGCGCAGGTCAATTCTGTGTCCAGGGCAGCTGCAGACTGTCTCGCCAGAGTGGTGCGTGCTCCAGTTAATCTCTCGCTTGGATTACTGCAAAGCACTCTACGTGGGGCCACCTTTGAAGGTGACCCGGAAACTACAACTAATCCAGAATGCAGCAGCTTGACTGGTGACTGGGAGCGGCCACCAAGACCACATAACACCAGTCTTGAAAGACCTACATTGGCTCCCAGTACATTTCCAAGCACAATTCAAAGTGTTGGTGCTGACCTTTAAAGCCCTAAATGGCCTTGGTCCAGTATACCTGAAGGAGCGTCTCCACCCCCAGATCGTTCTGCCCGGACACTGAGGTCCAGAGCCGAGGGCCTTCTGGCGGTTCCCTCGCTGCGAGAAGCCAAGTTACAGGGAACCAGGCAGAGGGCCTTTTCGGTAGTGGCACCCGTCCTGTTGCACCCGCCCCACCAGATGTCAAAGAGAATAACAACTACCAGACTTTTAGAAGACATCTGAAGGCAGCCCTGTTTAGGGAAGCTTTTAATGTTTGATGCACTATTGTATTTTAATATTTTGTTGGAAGCTGCCCAGAGTGGCTGGGGAAACCCAGCCACATGAGCGCGGTATAAATAATAAATTATTATTAATAAAATATATTTGCGAGTTGGTAGCATATGAGACTTCATCTCAGGGTTGTGGGTTCAAGCACCACATTTGGCAAAAGATTCCTGCATTTCAGGGGGTTGGACTAGATGACCTTTATATGGTCCCTTCCAACTCTACAACTGTGATTCAGAACGTAATGAATACCTGCTTCCTGATGGTATTGGCAGCTTGTATCCTAGAAAGATGTGAGGCTAGATTTGTGTGGGTTCTCTGCATTGGACCACAGCTACTTTAACAGATTGGATGGGGGGCTCAAGGAATCTGAAAGGCTATTATAAGGCTATCTCCTTCCACTGATGCCTCTGAATACCAGTTGCTTAGGACTGCAAGTGGGGAGGGCACTGCTGGTGCCCTCACTTCCTGCTGGCAGGCTTCCCGTAATGGGCAGAGAGAATGAAAACTTAGCATATTAAATGAAGCTCTGCAGAAGCAATTCAGAGTTGGAGGAGGAGGAGGAGCCTTAGCAACTGCTTGACAACCAAATAGCTGAACGGATACATTGTACGTGTGCATATTTGAATCCCCCCCCCTTTTTTTTCTTTTGCTTTCAGAGACTAAGACCAAAGAGGCAGGGTGGGGTGAGCAGGTGTGAAGATCAAGCTGGAACTGCCATACAGGCAGCTGAACTTTGCTGCTTCAGCACGCAAAAATGCTCGGACCACGTAATGGATGTTCCCATGCATGTACAGAGGACAATTTGGAGACATTTTTCAATACCTAGAAAACGGATTTTGGCAATGACATTCTGGATCCTGTGGGACAGGACTTTGCTCTCCATCCTGCAGTCTATGAAAGCAGCTCTCTCTCAGTGCCAAGAAACCCCCAAGAGGCAACATGCCTGCAGCACTTTCGTCTCTCGTGCCTCACCCTTTCCCCACTTTTGCTTGTTACAAGGATCCCTGGCCAAGACCCTTCGTACCTGTATCACCACTTCCTTGGCATCTTTTTGGGTTAGGGTTAGTCTGCTCCAGTAGAATAATTCCTGTCCAATTTCTATTTCCCTTGTTCCAGAGTAACTTTCCATAAGGGAGTGGATGCCCTAGCTGTGCGGGAATTTAAATGGAAGCTCCCCGGTCCAGCCTCTTGGCATGGAGGGGTCAAAGCAGGCAGCAGATCCTGCCAGGAGTCAGGGAGGGCAGCAGTTGCCCAAGGCTGCTACGGATCAACGTGCACAGGCCTCCTCTAGGACCACTGCCTATAGGAGGAAGACTGGCCCATTTCTGGTAGATGGCTTAGTGCCTGATGCTTGCAGCAGTTATTAGAAGGAAGGATAATGGATAATGACTTCTTCTCTGCAGCACCAAAGAGGCCTTGATAAAGTCAGCTGATCATTCTAGATAACTCCAGGAGTTGCAGAAGACTTCCTTTCTATCTCTGGTTTATTTTATTTTATTTCCTCAAAACAAAACTTCAAAGAGCAAAAAATTTACAAGCTCAATGCTGTTTCTGGGCCTGATTTTAAGCAGTCAGAAAGCTGACAGCATAACAGAAATGGGAGAGATGGAGGGCCCCTGGGAGCAACAGGGTTTAACCGTTAAAGCATTTAGGCCCTTAAAAGGGCATTTCATGTGTGCTCCGACTCATAAAACTCCCCTGAAAAATTATC